AATAATTTTATAAAAATTGTTAATTTTATGTAAAAAGAAGAATTTATTTATAAAATCCAAATACTTCAATAGAGAATCTATTTCGGGATCACTTTAAATTGAGAGATTCAATATTTTTCGAAAAAATTTGAGTTCGCTCAGACATAATCACAGCTATATACTAAAGTCTTTTTGCATTTTTAAGTATTGTGACTAAATTGCACGAGTCTTGACCAGCGCATAAGAGAGCAGGGACATGAACGTCAGTTGATACAATCGTCTATGTGTATATGTACGCAGGAGGCATATGATCACAAACCAGCAAGCTAAAAAAAGAGAATCTTACTTAAATGTATATATTCAACCATGTAACCGAATTCCAGGGGTGTATTAAGGACAAAACGTCACAACTTTTGCAAAAGAATTTAAAGAAGGTCTGATATAAAGTGTATTTGATTCTTATGATACGACGCAAGCTAATTAGTTTGCTTCTGCAACAATAACCTATTTCTAATTTTAATTTTGAAGTGAAACTCCTTAGCAAAAAGAGGAATTGGTGTGGGTTTTAATTTTCACACATGTGGTTGTATTTAGTAAGATGAAAAACCAAGTTTTTTAATAGTTTTTACGGTAGTTTATTGTTGGACTATTTATTTGTTGCAGTAAAAAAACCATTTTTATAAATTTAATTTGGTGCTTCGCTTTTGTGCCAGTGAGGCAGTAACATTCAACCACGTAACGTATGAACCGTATGTTTTTGTGCATGTAAAACGCCACACAGCGTTGTAATCGAGACCGCCGAAATTTTAGTAGTGAAGCAAATAGAAGTACCGAACCTCAGTGAGAGGGATGCAGAATTTTATCGAATGCGAGCAAGTGGGAAGCATGATAAGTAAAGAAGTACTGACAACAGAAGTTATGTATATATGTATATACGAAAAAACAATATTTATCCCTCTGGTGTAATCACGAAAATATATATTAGCATGGCGGTACGTACATAGCTTTATTGCTGCAATGATAATGTAACGTGAGGTGGCCCCCCCCCTTTTTTGTTTTTTTTTCAAGATAAGTGAATATATTTTATGATGTAAAGCTTAAAATTGTACCGAATGCTTTGTGAGAAAGCAGGAAACCTTCTGAGGCAGTCAGGTTAAATAAGAATTTATGTATATGTCTGATCGTTACTGCTTTGACCAAGTGCCTGACATAAAAAAGGCATAGTTATTGATTAGGGTATCGTTATAATAAGTACATATATTGTTATAATGTGTGTGCATGAAACAATAACGTCGATTCTTAACTTATGTGATTGTGTGAATGCCAAATAGATGGGTAAATGCTTTACTAGCATCTTCTCTTTATGTGACATTTGATACCTGTGAATGTAATTTGCAATACAATTTTTAGAAGACCTGTGACACAAACTAAATTTGGATAAATAAATAATTATATGATTCGAGGTTATTTTCAAACATTTTCAGAGTAATTTATTCTGCAAGCTTTATCCTGTGACATAACTAATGGGCAAATTAATGCGTTGAACAGATTGTGTCAGTTAGCGAGCTGCTATATGTGTATTATATATTGTATATATATTGGTTGGAACAGTTGGCTTTAAATTATATCCATATGCTTTATGGTATCACAAAGGAAGCAAAGCAAATTTTGACGATTTCATTTTTTGCACTCATATAGTATGGTTTAATCAGCACTTGAATGCGATTACGGTCTTGGTATGCAGTTCTGATTAACAATGTCTGGGCTTTTACAGTGCTAAGAGATGAAATTATTAAGCCACTAAAATTTATTGAGCCTATTCACATTGCTTATTATTCTGAAAAATCTTATCCATTGGCTTGCTAGAGAGATCGAGTGTGGACTAGTTGTGTTTCAATATTTATTCTTATGATTTATCATGAAATAAGATCTGGTACATTACGTCTATTTATATTTTTTTTCCAGAATGGAAGAAGCCCTGTAATTTCTGGCTATTTCATATTCGTGTACTGTGTATAGTATAATGAAGTATGTTCATTATTCAGTTTTTATAGAAGTGTTCTTAGTATATAACATTTATCACTTAGTAAGTTTCTTTCAGATGTCTTCATTTTTTGAACACTATCTCAAGCAAAGACACTACTAAATGAAACAATGGGGCATTTTCTATCTGGACCTTTAGATTGGTGCCAATAGACGACAATACCCGTGCAAGTATATGGAACGACAAAATCGCTGTTTTATATAAGTGTTGGCATTTGCCTACTGCTATTCGCTTACCCTTTATATGATTAACAATCTCTCAAAATTGCATGTAATACAATTGTTGGTTGATTTTGATACTAAAACTAGTGACCCCATGGGTTTGAAACAAGCATGTGCTTTTGTCATAGAAGTGCAACAGAGCATTGTTCTGTGGAGTAAGACTGATCTAAAATTGTTAAAATCACGACAACTTATTTCAACACTGCATTGATCCAATTTTCCTAAGATGATTTCCAAGGTTCTCCTCTATTGGCATTTGTCATACTAAATGGTTCACCTTAAATCTAATCCTTTTTCTTTGTTTGCATTAAGGCCTAATGTCCTAACCAATGTTTATGGTAAATGTCGATCATAATTTATTGAAAAATTAAAGTATTTGAATGATCGTAAAAAGTTACGCTAATGGGGCTAATCACATATTTGTAATAAAAATGTGTAAGGGCAAAATTCCAGAAATGATTCATGGATGTGTGATCTGTATGATCAACGACTTTCTTTTATTTTTTGTTCTTGTTTTCTATATTCTTATCAGTATTTATTTTTATTAATGGAGTCGTTTATCTGTGATAAGATTCTATATACTATCTATAAGTATTGTATTATGAGTCTGTATATGCCGAAACGATAAGAATATTTATGATTTTTGTGCAATTTGATTTGTGCAAGAAATGGTAAACAAGTGAGGTTAATTTCAGTCTGTCTTCTCAAGTGGCTTTGAAATCTTAAGTTAATAGTGAGAGCATCCTTGGCAGTGACATCAATTCAGGATTTCCTCGTTCCCGCATGTCTAGCAAAGAACTGAACACCCGTCTATATGTAAGTTATCAAAATTGTGATAAATTGGTGAATGTTACAACTAGACGACTTCAATTATATTGTAGTGATTTAGTCTACAGAATTAATTTTATAATTTGGAGATATTAATTTAGGCAAACTATTTTATAACCAATTTTCTATAAAAAATTTTGGAGATGATTTTCAAAATTAATTTTTTTCATTTAAAAAAACTGGCAGCATTTTTTGTCATTAATTAGATTGTGTTCTGATGGTCGAGTGCTCATGTAGAGCCATCATGCAGAATATTACTCATATAGGTCTGATGTTTCTAGCCTAATATGTGATCCAATAATCTCCACAAGTGATAGTGCTGAGTAATGTTACATTTTAAGTTGGGGTGTTTTAGGGAATGTATGTTTCTTGATCTAATTTCAGTTTTTCTAGTAAGTTAGTGGTTGTCGCAACATGTGAGCACTTCATATATTAAGAAAGCTAGTGTTGTGTTGTACAACGAACATTTTTTTACTATGCTCTCAAAGAAAAATGCGCTATATCAGTGAGGGAACCAAAGAAATTAAATTTATTAAATATTTTAGTTTAGTAAATATTTTTGCTAATGTAACTTCAAATTGTTTTGATTTAAAAGAGTATCAGTGTTTGAAAATAGATTTGTAAATATTGATAATTCATTTCCAAATGAAGTAAAATGTTCTTATGTTTTCATTATTTATAGGGAACATGCTTTTAGTGTTATAAGAGATTTTATTATTGTATATTAATTATTCTTATCTTCTTGATAATTAATTATATTATATTATTTACTTTTTCTTATTGTTCTTGTTATTGTTAATTTTGGCAGTTATATTACGCGGATCTCTTTCCTTATATACTAAGAACTTGATATGACGCTCATTGATTGTTTTATCAACTGAGCTATACTTAGTGTTTCTTATAATACTTTTTCATAAATTTTACTATGTTCTTTTGATTTACAAAGAGATTTTCAAAGACATTTGAAACAAATGTGCATTATTCTAAAATTGGTGTTAAATTTAAGCTTGATTTATTATATGAATTAAAGAATTTGTTTTCATCAAAGAATGAGTTGCCACATAATTTACTTAGTCTACAAGAGTCTTGTTCCAATTCGTCATGTCCATGAGTTCTTGAACTGCAGTGACGTGCCATTAGACACAAGGGAAGCAGT